TGGTGGGGAATGGAAGGATTTATACTCCTTTCAGACAACTGGTCATTTGCATTCTTTCAGGGAGTTGTTGAGACCACCTGGAGATTTATCTGTGCCCTCAGGGTCATCTGAGTAGTGCAAATGGGTGTGAAGCCTTCTTGGAACTATTGAAAGGACCGTGTTGTAGACTGGAGATAGATAATGTCGTATCACTCCTCCTCTGTTGAAAGAGGGCTCCAGTCTAAAAACAGTCATTTTGACAATTACAATTTCCTCAATAAACTTATAAAAGTTTTTTTTATGTTTTAAAACAAACAAACACATAATACATAAATCCTTCAGTGTGTCTTCTCGGTGTTTCTTCCGTGACTACTACTTCTTTTTATTACTCCTCCTATCTTCATTTCTCCTTGGATAATTTCCATTTCTCTGTTGTCCTATTTCCTCCAAATTACAATATATTTAATATAACATTCTCCCCCTACTTAATTATCACAATCTTTATCTATATCTCTTTTTTAACCAATCATAAATTTCCCCCCATATCTTATAATAGTCCGTATCCTCTCTCTCTTTAAACATCAAAGTTAATCTGTTTATTTCTGCACAGTCTAAGATTTTTTTAATTACTTCCCCTTCCAAAGGGATTTTCTCTGCTTTCCATCTTTGCACAAATACTATCCTCGCTGCAGTTATTATATGTAAAATCAAGTATATATTTTCTTTACTAATTTTCTCTGGTAGTATACCCAATATGAACAGCTCAGGTTTTAAATCAATATGTTGTTGGATCATTTCTTCTAACCATGTCTTAATTCTGCTCCAATAATATCTAGCTTCTGGGCTTGTCCACCACATATGATAATAAGATCCTGGTATTTGATGGCATTTCCAACATTTAGCTGATTTGTCTTTAAACATTTTTTTCTGGAAGCATATGCCATTTATAAAACATTTTATATTGAGTCTCTTTATATGCAGTGGACATTGTTAGTTTATAGTTCCTTTCCCATAACCGTTGCCATCTATCGAGCTCAATTTTTTTGCCCAAGCAATCATTGTTTCCTTTTCTTGTTCTTCCTCTAATTCCATACTAAGCATAAAGCTACAGATTTTTAAAATTATTTTATCCTCTGTTCCCATGAGTATCTTATCCAAATCTGTCATTTCTAAATAAAACCATATAATTTTGCTTGCTTTTTCATACCTTGCTTGTATTTGCATATGCGTGTACCAGTCTATCACAATCCCTTGTTCTTCCATTTCTTTTTTCCCTTTCAATTCCCCCTTGTCTGTAAGTAAGTCTTTATATCTAAAAATATTTCTAAAATTAACCATATTTGGGTGTATCAATGCTTCCATTCTTGATAACCATATTGGAATTTTCACATAGTATTTATCTCTAACCTTCTCCCACACTAATAACAATGCATTTCTTACATAGTGTCTATGAAAATATGTATATATCTTACTTCTACCATACCATAAAAATGCATGCCATCCCAATTGCAAAGCATGTCCTTCCAAAGTTAGTAATCTTATATTTCTTAATTCGATCCATTCTTTCATCCATGTCAATTCTGTTGCCTAGTAATATAATTCCCAATTTGGCAGTCCAAATCCTCCCATATTCTTGCATTTTTTTAAAGTAGTAGAGATTATTATTAAGTTGCCTATTAAATTTGTTGAGGGCCATACCCTTTAAAAATGCACATATCCCCAATCTGATTTTGCCATGCCTTCTAGATAGATCTTCTGTATGTACCCCCATCAAATGGCCACCCTTTCAAGTCATTGTAAAACAAAGTTTCTCTCTTTCCAAACCCATATATGGCCAAGAGATTTTGACATAGCATCTTTCACCTCCTTGTTCCTCAGGCTGTAGATCAGAGGGTTGAGCATGGGGATCACGACTGTGTAGAACATAGAAGCCCATTTGTCTTGATCCATGGAATAGCTGGAGCTGGGCCGAAAGTACATGAAGAGTATTGTCCCGTGGTATATCCCAACAGCTGTCAGGTGAGAAGCACAGGTGGAAAATGCTTTGTGCCTACCCTCAGCAGAGTGCATTCTCAAGATTGTAGCCAAAATATAAACATAGGATACAAGAATCATCCCAATGCTGCTTGCTTCAACAAAACCAACAAAGGTAAATAACACAATCTCACTAATATATGTGTCGGAACAGGAGAGCATTAGGAGTGGAGGCTCATCACAGAAGAAGTGATTGATAACATTGGAGCTACAGAAAGATAGCCGGAATGTGGAGGAAGTTTGTATCATTGAATCTAGCAGGCCTGTAAAGTACACAATAGTGATCATTTGTTGGCAGGCCTTTTTGGACATTAGAGTTGGATAGAGGAGTGGATTGCAGATGGCCACATACCTGTCATAGGCCATCAGAGCCAACAAAAGGCACTCTGCATCTGCAAGGATATCAAATACAAAGAGCTGTGTAACACAGCCAGTGTAAGAAATCCTTTTACTTTCACTTAATAAGTCAATTAGCATTTTAGGAGCAATGGTTGAGGCACAGCAGAGATCAACAAAGGAGAGGTTGCCCAGGAAGTAATACATGGGTTTGTGAAGTTGGGGTTTAGTGCAAATCAAGAGAATCATCCCCAGATTCCCTAATACAGTGATGACATAAACCAAGAAGAAGACCGTAAAAAGAACAAGCTGCATTTTCGGATTGTCTGTGAATCCCTGAAGTATGAATTCAGAAAAGGCAGAACCATTTCCTTTAGCCATGATTTCCAGAGTAGATGGATTGGTTCAGGTGATTTGCTGATCCTGAAATGTCTTTCTGAACTCTTGTTAGGAAAAAGAAAATTATATTACTTCATCCTTGTTCCTTTTTTCATGCAACAAGAATCTGGATTTTTTTCAAGAGGGATTGGGGCGACACTACTAACTTAATTCAGTATGTTGTATACTGAATACAACATATTTGCTAGATGGAATTTGCTTATTGTGCAAAAATGTAGTCTTTGAATATATGTATAAGATTCTAATATACCTGCTTCATTTCCTCTTTTCAGTTAAGGGAAGAATGCAGATTAATATATTGCTAGAGTAATATGTTGCTATATAAGTATGTTTCAAATATTTATGAATTTATGTTCTGCTAGCAGCCATAATCCCCCTCTTACTCACATTCCAAAATCGGGATTATATATTCTAGAAAGGGGGATGATTTGAGAGCTCCAGATCTCCTATTTTGAGAATATATAGAAAATTGTAGTATATTTACTTCATCTGCTGTTTCAATTAAGGATGCAGATTAATATATTGCTACAGTAGATACAGTATGTTGCTGTAAAAGTATGTGTCAAATTTTAATGGATTTATATTCGCTGGCAATCATAATTCTCCCTCTTCCACCTGTCTGGAAACTGTGCAATATGTTCTAGAATGGATTTGATTTGTAAGCTCCAGATCTCTTGTTTCAGGTTCCATTTGTGCCAATTCTACCTTCCGATGGTAGATAGTTAGTTGGCAGTAGTAGAGTACATGACATTCCCAAACCATTCATTTATCAGTTTTGTTTGTTTGGGTTCTAGATTTCAAGTTCAACTAGCCATACATTCTTGATTTCCATTATTCTCAGTATTCTAGCAATATGGAATTTCATGTCCTTTTATGGTGAAAAAGCCCATGTCTTTGCTTTTACATAATTTTTTCTCCACATTTCCCAGCTTTATGTACCTAGGGTGTCTCTTGCCTTTTTTCTGATACTAGTCAGAAAGTATCAGAAATTGATTTGCATTCTTATTTTTTGAGGCTTTCTCTACATCATGGGACTCTGTTGAAGGGATCCTTGCAACCAATGCATTTTTACTTTTCTTACAGCAAAATGATTCATCTGGAATCAAGTCTTAAGAAGGCTTTAATATCTAAAAAATACAAACCATTATAAATCCATTGAAATTCTAAAACTAAGACTGTCTCTGATTTTATTATGGTTTAGAAATTTCTCAGTAACATTTTCCATGTGGATTATTATTATTATAATTAATATAAACATGCTGTTTGTAAAGACTAAGTTCAACACTAATATAAATCTTTTTGTGAATTAGCAAACATACCTGGAATTAAGTCAGTGGCTTCTTTGCTATTATAAAACTGGTAAATAGGGACAGAGTTCTTAAATGTCTTTTCATATCACTTGGGATATTGTCTCTTATGTATTTCAGTACCCCAGATCCTGGAGATAAGTGGTTGTGTTTTCATGCTTTTTTGCAATAGTTTTAACTGGAGACTATCATTAAGTAAATAACATCTTGAGTCCCAATCCACAACTCAACAATGTTCAGATCCAGCCCAAGAACGACACTGAGCAATCCAACCAAAATTCATTTTTTTATTTGCTGACATCACATAGACAGAATCTTGTCAGTCTAATCCAATCCTACTCTAACCCTAACCCTAATGAAGATCAGGCAAGCAGTCTCGCTATTTGATAATTCCTCTCTGGACAAGGGGAGAAGCTGAGATGAACCTCAAGTGCTCTAGATAGTTGCTCCTTACAAGGACACCACAAGACAACTGTCACTATCAGCTTTAGAGCTCTGGGAGATGAAGGAAAACTATCTTCACTCATACTGAAGTCAACATCTACAAGAATTTGCATATTTTCTTTTCTAATTATTTCTACATATTTCACTTTCTAATTACTTTTAAAAGTTGCTTGTTCACTGCTTTTCACCTATTGCGAACATTTTGGATCAACACATTTTACAGAACCATATGAATTTTTCTCAGTCATTAGTGATAGAAGTTTTAAATACAAGTGTTATGAGCCACAATTCAGAACATGACTCTGACCTGCAGTCTGACAATGTTCTTGCAGATGACCCTGTATTTTAGGACTGTCAGCCTCAGGATCCAATAAGCTAGTGTTCAATTAAGACTGATCAACCACAGGCATATCCTGTGTAGCTGGAACAGTCAGATGATGAGTCACAATCCCCAAGCTCCTAGTCTAGACATCTACAGAGGTGAGCAGAATTCTGATCCTCAGTGAGACTCCACACTTGTCAAAGGCATGAGTGATTACAGCCAGTTGTCAAAAGACACATTAGGTAGCAGCTTTGTTTGTAGTTTTTGTTAGAGACGACTGTTGGCTTTCCAACTTGTGACTCTTATTCCTGCTTCTTCCTTGATTTTGGAATATTACTAATGGACTAAGGATCCAGATGGATTTGAAACAAGACTTTGGAATTAATTATAAGACCATTTCCTATGGGAAAATAATTTTGAAATCTTTCGAAAAGGTGATAGGGTGGGGCTGTCATATATGCCATCTTCAGCTCTGTGCTTTGCCAGCATCCTGTCATACAGTAAATGGAAGGGGGCAATCGGAATGTAGAGAGTAGAGAAGAGGGGGGGATTGGTAGGTTTGATGGAAACAAGAAGTGTGAGAAACAGCCTGTTTTGGTCTTCAAGGACACCTAACTTGGGAAAAAAATGTGAAATTGCACCAAGTGGCACCAAACATCCAAGGTGTTTCCCAAAGATCGAGACAGCATGCCACTGGACAGAGGTCAAGGGCAGAGTGCTGGGGAAAGAGGGGAAAATGTAACATTTTGTGTGGGAATCTCAGATCTAGCCTTGCTTTTGCTGCAACAACTAATCCTTAAGAACCTATCACTTCAACCAATTTGAGTCAAAGGTCTTTCTTTCCTAGGGACCTTGCTGACCTTATTTTATGAGGAATCTACCTGCCTCAGAGTTTTGTTTGCTGTGGGTATGTTACCTAGAACCCTGACATCTAGACAAAGGTCTGGAGTTAAGTAAAATTTATTAGCACAGTAAAAACACACCCAGAGGTAGTCAACTTCAATCAGAATAGAGCTGGAAGGGACTTTGGAGATCTTCTAGTCCAACCTCCTGCTCAAGCAGGAGACCCTATGCCAATCACTTCTTAAAAACTTCCAGTGATGAGCACCTACAACTTCTGAAGGCAAGTTGTTCCACTGGTTAATTGTCCTCACTGTTAGGAGGTTTCTCCTTAATTTCTCCTTGATTAGTTTCCACCCATTGCTTCTTGTCCTGCCCTCTGGTGCTTTGGATAATAAATTCACCCTCTCCTCTTTGTGGCAATTTATATGAGAATGAAGTAGAATTAAAAAAAATCTTTCTTTGATCCTGTGTGAGCATTGGCTTCTTCATACTGGATTTCCGCACCTTCTGGCTGACCCTGTGCTAATACACCTTCTTTTCCCTTCTTTCTTGAGAAGTCTCTGAATTAAAAAAAAAATCTCCTAATTCGCCTTCCTTTACAACTGTGGGGACTCCTGCAACTCCCACCCTAGCCATGGGCTGGAAGACATTGGCCAGCTAAGCCTTGCAGCTTGTGTAATTATGGCTAAATAAAAATATCTGAAATACTTGGTTTGCCCCTTACTGAACTGCTTATGACTTGACAAATTCAGAACCAACAACAGTATTTAATTTACAGATGTGGAATGATGTAATATTATATATGCGTCTAGTCTTTTGATTTCTAAAGCCCATAGTTACAAACGTGTTTTGATTCTGTGCTTTCTACAATAAATGATTTTGATTTATGACTGCCAGGAATCTGTTTTTTTCCTGACAGACTGCTGTCAAACTACCATTTTTTAAATGGACGAATATCGTGGGAAAGGGCTAAAAAGATTGAACCAGTTGGAAGTGCCAGGTTTCTCTGATTAAACTGAAATAGTGGCCTATGGCAGAAGTGGAGACTTGTATTGGTGTACTATATTATATTTAAATAACATGTTTTACATTGAGATAATATTCAGAGGATTGTGCAATTCCGTGTATACACAGTTGAAAAAACAAGAGAACACAATGTATATTCTTTTTTTCACTTGAATTTTTTTTCTCCAAAAGTGGTAGCGATTATTATTGTCTATTAAATTTGTCTAGGGCCACATCCTTTAAAAATTCACATAGCCCAACTGATTTTATTATGCCTCCTAGATAGATCTTCTGTATGTACCCTCCCTCAAATGGTGACCCTTGCAAGTTATTGTAAACATTTTCCCCCAATCCAAATCCATACATGGCCAAGAGATTTTGGCACAGCATCTTTCACCTCCTTATTCCTGAGGCTGTAGATCAAAGGGTTGAGCATGGGAATCATAACTGTGTAGAACATAGAGGCCCATTTGTCTTGGTCCATGGAGTAACTAGAATTTGGTCGGAAGTACATGAAGAGTAGTGTCCCGTGGTATATCCCAACAGTTGTCAAGTGAGAAGCACAGGTGGAAAATGCTTTATGCCTACCCTCAGCGGAGCGCATTCTCAAGATTGTAGCCAAAATATAAACATAGGATACAAGAATCATCCCAATGCTGCTTGCTTCACCAAAGCCAACAATAGTAAATAGCACAAGCTCAGTAATATATGTATCAGAACAGGAGATCATTAGGAGTGGAGGCTCATCACAGAAGAAGTGATTGATAATGTTGGAGCTACAGAAAGATAGTTGGAATGTACAGGAAGTTTGTATCATTGAATCTAGCAGGACTGTAAAGTATACAATAGAGATTATTTTCTGGCAGGCCTTTTTGGACATTACAGTTGGATAGAGGAGTGGATTGCAGATGGCCACATACCTGTCATAGGCCATCACAGCCAACAAAAGGCACTCTGCATCTGCAAGGATAGCAAATACAAAGAGCTGTGTAACACAGCCACTGTAAGAAATCCTTTTACTTTCACTTAATAAGTCAATTAGCATTTTAGGAGCAATGGTTGAGGCACAGCAGAGATCAACAAAGGAGAGGTTGGCCAGGAAGTAATACATGGGTTTGTGAAGTTGGGGTTTAGTGCAAATCAAGAGAATCATCCCCAGTTCCCTAATACAGTGATGATATAAACAAATAGGAAGACCGTAAAAAGGACAAGTTGCATTTTGGGATTGTCTGTCAATCCTTGAAGAATGAATTCAGAAAAGGCAGAACCATTTCCTTTAGCCATGATTTCCAGAGTAGATGGATTGGTTCAGGTGATTTGCAGATCCTGAAATGTCTTTCTGATCCCTTGTTAGGAAAAAGAAAATTATATTACTTCATCCTTGTTCCTTTCTTCATGCAACAAGAATCTGGATTTTTTTTCAAGAGGGATTGGGACCACACTACTAACTTAATTCAGTATACAGCATATTAGCTAGGTGGAATCTACAGTATTTATTATGCAAAAATATAGTCTTTGAATATAAGATTCTAATATACCTGCTTCATTTCCTGTTTCAGTTAAGGGAAGAATGCAGATTAATATATTGCTAGTGTAATATGTTGCTATATAAGTATGTTTCAAATATAAATGAATTTATGTCTGCTAGCAGCCATAATCCCCCTCTTACTCACATTCCAAAATCAGGCAATATATTCTAGAAAGAGGGATGATTTGAAAGCTCCAGATCTCCTATTTTAGGTTTTATTTATCTGAATATTCCCTTCCAATTATAGAAGGTAAATTGGCAGTGGCAGAATATATGAAATTCCCACACCATTCATTTTACAATTTTGTTTCTTTGGGTTCCAAATTTCCGGTTCAACTAGCCATTAAAACATTCTTGATTTCTATTGCTCTCAATATTCCAGCAACATAATTTCATGCCCTTTTATGGTGCAATAAAACATTTGTTTGCTTTTCCATAATTTTTTCCTCCATATTTCCCAAGTGATATACCTTCCTGTACTTAGGGTATCTCTTGACTTTGTTCATAGGTGAACCTCTTTTTAAGTGGTGCCAAAAATATAGTAGTAGAAATATTCAGTTAATCTGTTTATTTACCTTTATTTACTTCGGATGAGTCACTCTTTCTCAGCCCTACTCACAGCCATACAGAGAGTTGTTGTGAAGAAAATACAAGGAGGAAGATGGATATATTCACCGCCTTGAGCTATTGATAAAAATAATAAAGGCAGTATATACATAAACAAACAAACAAACAAACAAATTTTAGACCAATATTTCAATCATAACAAATTGAAATATGAATATCATTTCTAGCTGCATTTTAAAAGGCAGGAGTTCAACTTTTGCAAAGCGATGTCTCCAAATGTTCATTGCTAATGCTCCATTAATCAATGATGTAAAAACACAATAAAAGAAGTAGGTGCACCTACATTCTCCTGACGTTTCTGCTAGTATAAATCATTCATCATGATAACCAAAGGCTCTGTATGTCAAATCTGTGCCTGATGCCTGTTCAAGATTATTTGTTTAATTTATGAAGCCTTGAAACTGTAGGATCAAATCTGTCAATTTGGTTAAATTTCAAATATTTGGCTGAGATTATTCTTAATTCAGAACCTCACAACACCTCCTCTAAAAAAGCAGAGTGAAAACCAGGTATTAATGATCTGACTGACTGTTGTCAAGGAGAAGTCCTTAGACATCCTAATAAACCAAGTTGGAAGAGGATCAAATCTTATGCCCTTTCTGAGAAGACAAGAAATCACACTTATTGAAACAGATAGCAAAATGGATACGCTAGGTCTATGATGGCGAACCTATGGCACGCATGCCAAAGGTGGCACGCAGAGCCCTCTCTGTGGGCACGCATGCCGTCACCCCAGCTCAGCCAGCTGGGCTGGTCATCGGGTTTCCAACGCGCACATGCATGCCGGCCAGCTGGTCATCAAGTTTCTGGTGCTCTGGAGCGTGAATGAGCACACCTTCCAGTTTGTGCACTCTGTGCCTAAAAGGTTCACCATCACTGCCCCTAGGTGTAATATTCCTTCAAAAGACATCCTGCCTGTCACAAATATATGTTTTTTTCTCCACAAAGAATGGAGTTTAGATGGTGTTTGGAAGATAAGACACAGGCCGCGGAGGCTAGTCTTCAAATGGGAAATCCTGAAAAGCTCCCTTGGACAATTCACCCCATAGATAGCAAGGCAGGAAGCATATCTCTTCCCATTTTCATGACAATGGTCCAAGCAATTTCCTGCCATTCTTTGATACATATTCCTAATTCTGTTTCTAGGAGATGTCTTATTCTTATTTAGATTTACATGGCTCTCAAATTGGAAAGATACAACTTAATTACATTAAATTTAGTAATGCTTAAATCAGACATTAAGGAAGAAATAATTCCTTAAGGTGAGGATGAGTCAGTCTTGTTAAACAAATCTTTCTGATACTAGTCATTTGATCTGCATTAATTCTTATTTATGCATTTTCTCTCTTCTTATAGCAAAATAATCCAGCTGGAATCAAGTCTTAAGAGAGTTTTAATATTTGAAAAGTACAAAGCATTATAAATCAATTGAACTCTAAAACTAAGATTGCCTCTGATTTTAGTACAGTTCAAAAACTTCTCAGTAATATTTCCCATAAGGATTGTTATAAATATTCAGTGTATAAAGGATAATCTCAACATTTAAATAACTCTTATTGTGAATTAGCAAACATACCTAGAGTAGAATCAGTTGCTTTTTTGCTCTTACAAAACTTGTAAATAAGGGCAGAGATCTTAAATCTCTTTTCATATCACTTGGGATATTATCCCTTATGTACTTCAATACCTCAGATCCTGGAGATAAGTGATTGCATTTTCATACTTTGTTGTGATAGTTTTAATTGGAGACTATAGTTAAGTAAATAATACCTTGAATCCCAAGCTACAACTCAACAATTCTCAGGTCCAGCCAATGAGCAACATTGAACAATCCAGACAAAATTCAGTTCTTTATTTGCTGAAACCATTATAGACAGAATCTAGTTAGTCTGACAATCCCACTCTAATCCTTACCTATATACCCTGGGAAATTCTAGGGGTGGCTATCCTAATTATCTTCCTCTTTTCTGATTTAAGTCCAGGCTGTGTTTCTCTTGTCTCAATCCTTCTCCTTGGAATGTGCTTTCCTAATCATGGGAAAACTGTGGCTTTGCTATAGTCCACCACACCACCTCCTATTTCATAGACACAATCCATCACATCATTAGACAACTCAAACATGTTTGACTCAGAGGTGAAATCCAATTTTTTTTACTACCAGTTCTGTGGGCGCGGCTCTGTGGGTGTGGTGTGGCTCTGTGGGTGTGGCTTTGTGGGAGTGGTGTGGCTTGGTGGGCATGGCTTGGTGGGCATGGCAGGGGAAGGATACTGCAAAATCTCCATTCCCTTCCCACTCCTGGGGGAAGGATATTGCAAAATCTCCATTCCCACCCCACTCTGGGGCCAGCCAGAGGTGCCATTTGCCAGTTCTCTGAACTACTCAAAATTCTCCAGAACCTGTCAGAACCTGCTGGATTTCACCCCTGGTTTGACTGCTCATAAACTCATGAACAAAATAACCTGCATAATATGTCTTGAGCAGGGGTGGGTTCTAAATTTTTTTTACTACCGGTTCTGTGGGCGTAGCTTATTTCGTGGGCATGGTTTTTGGGGGGCGGGGGTAATGTGACTCGGTGGGCATGGCCAACTTTTTTTTTTTACTTTTAAAAGCATTTTTTCTACAACCTTAAGAGGTTTTCCTCTATTAGGAATCTTTGGACCAACACGTTTTACAGCACTGTGTGAATTTTATTCAGTCCTTAATGAAAGAAGTTTTAAATATTACTGTTATGAGCCACAATTCAGAGGATGACTCTGACCTTGACTCTGACAATGTTGCTGCAGCTGATTCTGTGTCACCCTCAGGATCCAGTAAACTAATATTCAGCTGACTCTCTCTGATTAACTGCAGGCATCTTCGGTCTTGTAATCTCCTTATGAGGAGCAACTAACTGGAGAACTTGTGGGTGATCTCAAGTTCTCTCCGTGTTACGAGCAATCAGGTGATGAGGCACAATCCCCAAGCTCTAGATCTAGACATCTATAGAGGCAAGCAGAACTATAGCTCTCAATGAGACTCCTCATTTGACAAAGCATGAGTGATTACAGCCAGTTGTCAAAAGACAGATTTCAGTAGCTGCATTGGTTGCAGTCTTTGTTAGAGACAACCATTTGGCTTCCCAACTTGTGATTCTTCTTCCTTGATTTTGGAATATTACAAATGGACTAACGATGCAGATGGATTTGAAATAAGACTTAGGAATTAATTATAAGACTCTTTCCCATGGAAACATGGTTTTGTTTTGAGATCTTTTTTAAAAAAATGATAGGATGGGGCCTTGAATGTTGGATATTAGGGGGAGATAGAAGGAATTAAAAATTACAATCAAAGGAGAATTAAGTATTAAGTAATTAAGTATGTCTGATGTGATGAAATGTAGTCAGAAAGGAGGGCTCTTTCACAGAGAGCAAAGAGATAGTGGAATTTGGGATGTCTGGTAGGCAGAATGAGAGCAAGGTTGGATCTTTCTTTGTAATGTATAGAGTATGTCTATAGTTATTGTAGTTAATTGTTTAAGTCTGTTGATATTCTCATTTTTCACCTCCTCAGGATTGTAGACCAGACAGTTAAGCATGGGGTTCACAATCAGAACATAAAAGGACATTTGTCTTGGTTCATTCAGAGGTGGGTTTCAGCAGGTTCTGACCAGTTCTGGAGAACCACTAGCAGAAATTTTGAGTAGTTCGAAGAACCGGTAAATACCACCTCTGACTGGCCCCTCCCACATCTATTCTCTGCCTCCCGAGTCCCAGCTGATCAGGAGGAAATGAGGATTTTGCAGTAACCTTCCTCTGGAGTGGGGTGGGAATGGAGATGTTATAGTATCCTTCTCCTGCCACACCCACTAAGCCACGCCCACCAAGCCATGCCACGCCCACCAAGCCATGCCCACAGAACCAGTAGTAAACAATTTTGAATCCCACCACTGGATTCATTGAATAGCTGGATGAGGGCTGGAGGTACATGAAGGCTATGGTTCTGTGAAATATCTGAAAAGCTGTCAAATGAGAAGCACAGACGAGAAAGGCCTTATGCCTGCCCTCAGCAGGGCACATTCTCAGAATTGTACCCCAAATATAAACAGCATAGAAGAATCATAGCTATCCTGCTCACTTCAAAGAAGTGAACATAGGTAAATAGTACAACATGATTAACATATGTGTCAGAGAAGGAGATCGTTAAGTGTGGAAATATGTTTCAGAACAAGTGATTGATAGGATTTGATGTGCAGAATGGTAATCAGAATGTAGAGGAAATGTCTACTATCATATTCATAAGGCTTATACCGTATGCAACAGCAATTATTTGCTGGCAGAGGTTTTTTTGGATTTTATAGATGAATAGAAAAATGGATTATAGATGGCCAATATCTGTCACAGGCCACCAGAGTCAATAAAAGGCACTGTATGTCTACAAGCATGGCATACAAAAACAGCTCTAAAGCACAGGCACTGTAAGAAATCCTTTTAGTTTCAACTAATGAATCAATCAGAATTTTAGGAACAATGGCTGAAGAACAGCAAAGATCAACAATGGAGAGGTTGCCCAGGAAGTAATACATGGGTTTGTGAAGTTGGGATTTAATGCAAATCAATAGAATCATTCCAACATTCTCTAATACCCAGTGACACAAATTGAGAGGACAATCATAAAAAGATTGTCAAAAGATTGTCTTTGATAAAAGATTATCAAAGGAAGGAAGAATATTTTCATTCTTTAGAGTTCCACCTTTTTTGGCTTTTCAATAATCCAGAGGGCCAGGGCCACATTTTTATTGCATTAATCTAAATCAGGGGTGTCAAACTCATGTCATCATGGTGGCATCACACAAGGTATTGGGACTTTTCCCCCTTTCGCTAAACCAGACATGAGCATGGCCAGCGCATGATGCATCTGGCCCATGGGCTGGGAGTTTGACAGCCCTGATCTTAATGATTGATTAATCTGCATTAAGCAAAAATACAAAGTAGGACAGTGTGTAGATGTGTTCTAATATTTACTTCTTTTGCTGAGGCATTGCATGTGAGAACTAATATTAATGCTTTGTGCTAGTGGAGTGATCATTTCTACAAAAATCTATGTTGGAATTAATGTTAAAAATATTATGTAAATTTTGAGCCACTGTCAAATGGATGTAAATGCTTGGTTCTTATCGCTCCAGCTGGAGGGCCTGGTGGCTTAATAGTTTATTAATAAGTACTTAGAGAATTTTTTGCTACGAATTAATTTTAGCCAGAGGCATTAGCTTATTTGGGCTTTTGCCTGTTAGAAGTAGCATTTCTTTAACACCTATCAGCAAGAGCTAGAGGGGTCGACCACAAACTTTCCCAAGGTTGACTACTAATGTTTTCTACATGAACTAGCTAATAGGTTGTGGCTTTCACACTTGGCTAAGACACTTTATACCTGTATTGTTATTTCCACTGAATTTCCTTTATTTTTTAAAAGCGGTAGACATTATTATTAAGTTGCCTATTAAATTTTCTAGGGCCACATCCTTTAAAAATTCACATATCCCCAATCTGATTTTGCCATGCCTTCTAGATAGATCTTCTGTATCTACCCTCCCCCTCCAATGGCCACCATTTTAAATCATTGTAAAACAAAGCTTTTCCCTTTCCAAACCCATATATGGCCAAGAGATTTTGACATAGCATTTTTCACCTCCTTGTTCCTCAGGCTGTAGATCAGAGGGTTGAGCATGGGGATCACGACTGTGTAGAACATAGAAGCCCATTTGTCTTGGTCCATGGAGTAGCTGGAGCTGGGCCGAAAGTACATGAAGAGTATTGTCCCGTGGTATATCCCAACAACTGTCAGGTGAGAAGCACAGGTGGAAAATGCTTTGTGCCTACCCTCACTGGAATGCATTCTCAAGATTGTAGCCAAAATATAAACATAGGATACAAAAATCATCCCAATGCTGCTTGCTTCAACAAAACCAACAAAGGTAAATAACACAATCTCACTAATATATGTGTCGGAACAGGAGAGCATTAGGAGTGGAGGCTCATCACAGAAGAAGTGATTGATAACGTTGGAGCTACAGAAAGATAGCCGGAATGTGGAGGAAGTTTGTATCATTGAATCTAGCAGGCCTGTAAGGTACGCAATAGTGATCATTTGTTGGCAGGCCTTTTTGGACATTAGAGTTGGATAGAGGAGTGGATTGCAGATGGCCACATACCTGTCATAGGCCATCACAGCCAGCAAAAGGCACTCTGCATCTGCAAGGATAGCAAATACAAAGAGCTGTGTAACACAGCCACTGTAAGAAATCCTTTTACTTTCACTTAATAAGTCAATTAGCATTTTAGGAGCAATGGTTGAGGCACAGCAGAGATCAACAAAGGAGAGGTTGGCCAGGAAGTAATACATGGGTTTGTGAAGTTGGGGTTTAGTACAAATCAACAGAATCATCCCCAGATTTCCTAATACAGTGATGACATAAACCAAGAAGAAGACCATAAAAAGAACAAGCTGCATTTTCGGATTGTCTGTGAATCCCTGAAGTATGAATTCAGTAAAGGCAGAACCATTTCTTTTATCCATGATTTCCTGAGTAGATGGATTGGTTCAGGTGATTTGCTGATCTTGAAATGTCTTTCTGATTCCTTGTTAGGAAGAAGAAAATTATATTACTTAGAGCTTCATCCTTGTTCCTATCTTCATGCAAGAAGAATCTGGATTTTTTTTCAAGAGGGATTGGGACCACATCGCTAACTTAATTCAGTATACAACATATTTGCTAGGTGGAATCTACAGTATTTATTATGCAAAAATGTAGTCTTTGTAAATATGTATTTCCAAATTTCAGGTTTCACCAGCCGTTAAAATAGTCTTGGTTTCCGCTGCTCTCAGCATTCTATCAACATGGAATTTCATGTCCTTTTATGATGCAATAAAACATTTGTTTGTTTTTCCATAATTTTTTCCTTCATATTTCCCAGGTGATATATTTCGCTGTACTTAGGTTGTCTCTTCCTTGTGTTCATAGCTGATCCTCTTTTTATGTGGAGCCAAGTAATATAGGAGGTAGAGATATTCAATTAAGCTGCCTCAAAGGTGCTTTTTTCAAAAGGAAACTGGACTATTTTTTTCTTGAAGAAGAAGGCGTTTCACTTCTCATCCAAGAACCTTATCAGTTCTGAAAAGATTCTGGGAGGGGGGGCAGATGGAAGGATCATATTGTTATCATAGGTGGTGTCATATCCATCTGTTGAGAGAGAGAGGTGTTCAGTTTTAACATATATGGCCTCTTTTACCCCTTTTTCAAACCAATGATCCTCTCTATCCAGAACATGGATATGGAGGACTATTGTAGTAGACAGGAGATAGGACACCACCTTTCTCCTGTCTACAACACAGTCCTTTCAGCAATTCTAAAAAGATTCCACCCCATTTGCATTCTGACCTTGAGGGGCACAGATAAATCCCCCAGAGGCTCAATGGCTCTCAATAAGAATGCTAATGACCAGATGGCTGCAAAGAAATATGATTTTTCCATTCCTCACCCCATCTTGTCAGAACTAATCCTATCATCCGCCCCACCATCCTGTCAGAATTGATGAAGCTTTTTGGATGAGATGCGAAACATTCCTTCCTCAAGCAAAAACATAGTCCAGTTGCCTTTTGAAAAAAGCACCTTTGAGATAACCATGGCCTGGATGACTGAGAATCTCCATAGACAATTAACTGTTTATTAACCTTTGTCCAGTCAGTCTTTCTCTGCCCTACTCATCTCACACGGTTGTTTTTGTAGGGAAAATAGGAAGAGGATGGTGTGTTGGATATGTTAGCCACATTGAGTTATTGGTAAAAATAATAAAGGCAGGATATAAATATACAAATAAATAAATAAATAAATTTTAGACCAGTATTTCAAGGATATCAACTTGAAATATCAATCAATATTTCAAGTTTGGCAATATCATTTCTAGAGACATCTTAAAAGGCAGGAGTTCAACTTTTGCAAAGTGATGCCTCCAAATATTCACTGACATCTCTCCATGATCAACGATATAAAAAGACAGTGAAAGAGCAGACGCGCCAAGAGGGCTGCATTCTCCTGAAGTCTCTGCTAGTATGAATCATCCATCATAATAACCAACGGCTCTATGTGTCAAATACTGTATGTGCATGATGCCCATTCAAAATAATTGTTTGTATTTATGAAGCCTTGAAGCCATAGGAGCAATAAAACCCCCTCTATCAGTTTGGTTAAATATCAAATACTTTGGCTGAGATTATTCTTAATGAAGAACCTCACAACACCTCCTCTAAAGAAGCAAGGTGAAAAGAAAGGTATTGGTGGTCTGATTGATTGTTGTCAAGCAGAAGCTCTTAGACATTCTTATAAACCAAGCTGCAGGAAGATAAAATCTTACGCGCTTTCTGAGGAGTAAAGTAATCACACTTATTGAAACAGATAGCAAAATGGATACCTTAGGTGTAATGTTCCCTCCAAAGACATCATGTCTGTCATGAATATGAGTTTTCTTCTCCACAAAGAATCTCCAAAGTTCTGATGATGGAGTTTAGATGGTCTGGATGGACTGAAGCCCTGGAGGCTGATGTTCTACTGGGAAATCCTATAGAGCTCCCAATTTACTCCATAGACAACAAGGCAGAAAGCATATCTCTTCCATTTTTCATGACAATGGTCCAAGCAATTTCCTGCCATTCTTTGATACATTTTCCTAATTTTACTTTTAATTGATGCCTTATTCTTATTTATGTGGATCTTAAATTAGAAAGATCCAAATTAATTAGATCAAATTAAACTTAGTAAAGCTTGGATCAAACATTCAAGAAGAAAGAATTTCTTAAGATGAAGATGTGTCAGTCTTGTTAAAAGAATCTTTCTGATACTAGTCATTTGATCTGTATTCTAATTTTTTCAAGTTTTCTCTACATTAGGGGACTCTATTGAAGGATCCTTGCAATGGTTGCATTTCCTCTCTTCCTACAGCAAAATGATCTATCTGCGATTAAGTCTTAAGAAGGATTTAACATCTTAAAAGTACAAATCATTCTAAATCCATTGAAACTCTAACATTCAGTTTGTCTCTGGCTTTAGTACAGTTTAAAAGCTTCTCAGTAATATTTCCTATATGGATTGTTATTAATATAATCTCAACATTTGTATAAATCTTATTGTGAATTAGCAAATGTACCTGGACTTGAATCAATGGCTTCTTTGCTCTTGCAAAGCTGTAAATAGGGGCAGAGATCTTAAATCTCTTTTCATATCACTTGGGATATTATCCCTTATGTACTTCAATAACCCAGATCCTGGAGATAAGTGGTTGCATTTTCATTCTTTGTTGTGATAGTTTTAATTGGACACTATTGTTACCTAAATAACATCTTGAGTCCCAAGCTACAACTCAATAATTTTCAGGCCCAGCCCAAGAGCAACATTGAACAATTCAGCCAAATGTCAGTTCTTTATTTGCTGAAACCATATAGATAGAATCTTGAGAGTGTAACCCTATCCCACTCTAACTCTAACCGATATACCCTGAGAAATTTTTTAACCAATATACCCTGGCATATTTCCTTTTCTAATTACTTTTGGAAATTCTATGGAATGGCTATCATAATTCTTTTTCTCGTTCTCTGATCTAGCTTTAGGCTGTGTTGACTCTTGTCTCATCCCCACCATGTGTTTTTGAGAAACTGGGCTTTCCTGTGGTCCATTACACTACCTCCCCCTTCGTAGATACAATACATCACACCAATATACAACTCAAACATGTTTGGCTGCTCATAAACACAGGAACAACATACCCTGCCTACTAAACACTGGGAACAAAATACCTTGTCTGCTGCTATATATCTCGAGCCTAGCACTTGTTAGGATTGTAGTGGTCTTCCAGGGAAGAAATGTGACCCATTAGCAGAGCTGATAACTGTGCGGAATGAAGAGGAGGCAAGCAATCCAGTTGTTTGATAGTTTCCCTATGGACAAGTGGAGAACTTGAGATCATCCACATATGCTCCAGATAGTTGCTCCTCACAAGGATAACAGTCACCCTCACCCTCAGCTTTAGACTTCTGGGAGATGAGAGAAATCCATCTTCACTCAAACTGAGGCCTACACCTACATGGACTTGCATACTTTCTTTTCTAATTACTTTTGCAATTTCCTTTCCTTGTTAATTGCTTTTCAGCTATTAGGACTCTTTGGATCAACAAATTTTATGGCACTGTGTGAATTTTGTTCGGCCTTTGGTGAAGTTTTAAATGCAAGTGTTATGAACCACAATTCAGAATGTGACTCCGACCTTGAATCTGACAGTGTTGCTACAGCTGATCCTGTGTTTTAGGATCAGCCTCAAGAAGATTCAAGATTGTATCATTGAGATGCAATGACTAAAATATAAGAACTAACCTTATTAGTTTCTGCTAATTGTAGAGATCTATAGCTGGATAGATGTATAAATTAACTGGATGCTCGGTGGTTGATATAGCTTGGGGGTATGTATGTTGTATCTTGCAAAAACTTGTGAGACTCACTAGAACCATTTTTCAAAGAATTAAACCCAGGTCTATCTCAAGAAGTGAAAGATGGTGCAAGTTATTCCTAGCTTTGTGTGACCTGTTGAAGGAGACACAGCAAAGGTATCAAGGCAGCATGTGCTTTTTAGGGCTTACTAGATTGGCTGAGAATGGAGGATACAAGAGTTCCCTCCAGTGGAGATCTGCTGAGTTCTAGTGTTTTCTAGTTAATTTATAAGGTCTCCCCCCACCCCTCTCATGTCACCATTAGACCAGAGGGATGTGCATTCAGCCCTAGAGTGATAGAGCCTAGGTATAAAAAACTCCCAAACAAAGTTTCCCATGTGAAGAGATTAGAATCAGTTTATAAACATACAAAGTATTGGTTCAGAAAGTATACAATTTTATTAATCAGGAACTGATACAGTTTTCTTCTACCTAGAGGAACATATGTAAACTTTATATTTCCAAAGATGGTTAGGAAAGTTCTCCTGTGAAATTTTGAAAAAAAAGAAAGAAAAAAAAGCACCCCTGGTCCAATTAGACAGCACAGAAGTAGATGAATCTCTCTTGTCCCTTGGCATAAGACCAATGGAACGGGCAGATTGCATCCTAAATGAAGAGGCCAGTTACAATATATTAACATACTTTTATTAGTTTTATTGACCACGTTGCATCACATTAAGTTATAGAAATATAATGATGATGATGATGATGATAACCACCCATATACTAAAGATAGTAGTATTATTGGTCTTTATGGGAAAAAAACAGTGAGCTCATTAGCACTGCCACTTTTGAATGGAAGTGTGTCAAGTGCCTTCCTGAATCTATTTCCAATGTTTCTATAAGATATTTCTCTCTCATTAACATCTCCTTGATGTACTTTGTCCTTGTCATGGCCATTGTGGCTTAAATCTGAGTGCCATTCTTTCTGGCTATTTTGAAACTCCATTCTTGCCTAAGATCACTGGTCAGGACTGCTGGTTGCTTCTAACTAAAAATAGAGTTCCCAGAAGTTGTAGGACAGGGGTGTCAAAGTCGATTTCATTGAGGGCTGCATCACGGTTCTGTTTGACCTTGGGGGGCCAGGGTGGGCATGATCAGGGTGGGCATGGCCAGCTCGACATCACTTGTGGCGGGGGGGCCTGTGATGGCTCAAGCAGTCTGCCAGTGAAAACGGGCTTCCAAGCTCTGTTTTCAGCTCTGATGGCCTCCTGCAACCCTCTGCCAGCAAAAACAGAGCTTGAGAGGGCCATTGACAGCCCTCCCAAACTCCGTTTTTACTGGCAGAGGCACTGCGGGCCTTCACTGTTTCCAGGACGGCCCCATGGGCCTGATCGAAGCACCCCACAGGCCGGAACTGACCCTTGGGCCTTGAGTTTGACACCCCTGTCAAACTCAAGGTTCTGAAGTGAAATAATGAAGAGATCTGTAATAATTCTAGTAAGAGATTTATTTCTAATTCATTAATTATTTTATTTAAATTTATTGGCTACCCAGCTCTAGTGGAGATCTGAATAAAGCAAACATAACAAAGACTGATCATAATAAGACCATGAGAAGATCAAATATCTGTAACTTTTCAGTGCAGTCAAACAGAAGGAGATTATATGCAGCATAAGAAAAAAATTGTATTATGGTCTTCATCAGAAGATGTTGAGGCTTATTCGGAGTGGGTGGGTGGGTGGTGGGCAGGGCTAAAATTCTCAAATAACTGTTCTTAGCCCTATCCTCTATTAATTTATATAATCTTCAGTACTTTTGGTGGAAATTAATTACATAATTTATAGGAGTAGTTTCACTGATCTGTCTAAAAGCTCTTACTACTGAAGGATCATCGGTTCTGGTGTTACGAAAAAGAGTGAAAATTGTTTCTCTGCCAAAGTTCCCAAAACCCTTTTGTGACCCTGTCTCCTTGGTTTCTTTTTCCAATGTAAAATGCTCCAATCTTTTTGTTGCCTTGAATATTTAATATGTTTTTCCTATTTGTGTCTCAGTTTTTAATACAGCCCTATCAACTGCTGCAACTTGTAGGGTTGTATAGCAATTTTATAGAAATCAATTCATTATTCCAGCTCAGGATTTCTTATACTTTGTAAATTATCAAAATTATCCTACATTAAGGGGGAGAAACTCAGATTTAAAAAAAAATATGCTTTTGTTTATTTTGATTGGATATGCCTTAATACAACTCTTCAGATCGGTATCCTTTCCTATATGTTAGACTCCAAATCCCATGCCTTGTTATCAATATTGCCGTAGACTGGACAAGGCTAACTGAACAGATAGTCTTTTTTTTCCACAGAAAGAATATGAGTATTTTAAACATAAAGATGAAAAGTATGATTAAATGTAAAATCGGACTGAAATATTTGGTTTATTACATGTTAAACTACTTGCAACATGACAAATTCAGAACTAATAACTTTTAATTTACTTGCATAGAACTCTGAATGCTTATATAGGCTTTCAGCCTTGGGCTTTCTACAATCAAAAATTATGCAGGGTTTTAATCCTGTGATTCATACAGTTAGCCATCTTGCTTTATGAAACTAGAAACCCTCATTTTGTGGTCTTTTGTTATGCTACCATTGTTGGTGGCTGAAGAGCCTGGGAAGCGGCTAAGAGCCAGAAGTGCAAAGTTTATCTGATTAAACTGAAAAAGTGGTTCAGCAGGATTGAGACTATTGTTAGTGAAGTCTACTATGTTAAGTAAGTTATGATTGTTATTGAGATAATATTCAGAAGTATAAAAGGTCACAGAACATTACAATACAATGTATTTCTTTTACCCAGTGACATTATTCCTCTTTAGAAGGGTCAGAGGTTATTACTGAATGAAATTGTTCCCTACATTTATTTGGGTTTCCTGCCTTTAAAAGTCCATACATTGCCGACTGATTTTATCACAGCATCTTTCACCTCCTTGTTCCTCAGGCTGTAGATCAAAGGGTTGAGCATGGGGATCACGACTGTGTAGAACATAGAGGCCCATTTGTCTTGGTCCATGGAGTAGCTGGAGGTGGGCCGGATGTACATGAAGACTATGGTCCCGTGGAATATCCCAACAGCTGTCAGGTGAGAAGCACAGGTGGAAAATGCCTTGCGCCTGCCCTCAGCGGAGTGCATTCTTAGGATTGTAACCACAATATAAACATAGGATATAAGACTCATACAAATGCTGCATGCTTCAATGAAGCCATCAATGATAAGCAGCACAAGCTCATTAACATAGGTGTCAGAACAGGAGAGTACAAATAGTGGAGGCATATCACAAAAGAAATGATTAATAACATTTGACCTGCAGAATGTGAGTAGGAATGTAGAGGTAGTGTATACTATTGTATCCATTAAGCCTATGCAATATGCAAAAGCAATCAATTGTTGGCAGAGCGTTTTGGACATTGCCGCTGAATAGAGAAGTGGATTACAGATGGCCACATACCTGTCATAGGCCATCACAGCCAACAAAACACATTCTATGTCTACAAAAAACACATAGAAAAAGAGCTGTGTAGCACAGGCATTGTAGGAAATCCTTTTACTTTCACTTAATAAATCAATCAGCATTCTAGGAGCAACGGTTGTGGAACAGCAGAGATCAACAAAGGAGAGGTTGCCCAGAAAGTAATACATGGGTTTATGAAGTTGGGTGTTAGTGCATATCAGTAGAATCATCCCAAGATTCCCTAACAGCGCAATGAGATAAATTGAGAGGAAGATAAAAAAAAGAACAAGTTGCATTTTGGGATTGTCTGTGAATCCCTGAAGAATGAATTCGGTAATAACAGAATCATTTCCTTTATCCATGATCTTTCACAATGGGTGCTGGGTTCAGAATATTAGCTGAATGTGAAATGTCTTTTTTAAAAAATCTATCAAAGGAAGGAAAGAAGATTTGCTTTCTTTAGAGTTCCATCTATTTTGGTTTCTCTATAAAAAATAACCATGAGGACCAGGATCACATTTCCACTGTATTCATCTAAATCAGGCTTTCCAACCTGGGGCCCAGGGGCCGCATGTGGCCCTGGACAGCTAGTAATGCAGCCCTACAAAACCCCCCAAATAAAGGAGGTTTGTTATTTATATACATTAACTACTACATTATACATCTTATATGCAGCTCAAGACAATTCCTCTTCATTCAGTATGGCCCAGACAAGCTAAAATATTGGACACATCTAAATGTTTGTTAAATTTGCATTAAACAAAAATACAAATCAGGGCAGTGTGTACAGCTATTCTAATATTTATTTCATTTGCTGGCGCATTGTACGTGAGAATTCATATTAATGCTCTGTGCTAGTTGTGTGACTATTTTTATAAAAATCTATGATGGAATGAATGTTAAAAATATTGTATAAATTTTGAATTGCTGATAAACCTTCTTTCCCCTTCTTTCTTGAGAAGCCTCTGAATTAAAAAAATAAAATAAAGTCACCTGCTTTCAGGGTACTGGTAGATTCCAAGTCATATTTCTTGTTTCACTTAATGCATTTGACTGTCATATTTTATAGATTATGTGTTTTAAAAGCTATTTTCATTGACTATCATTGCTTCTGATTCCGGAGTATCTTCTGCATATGTTGAAAGCAATACTGATTTTTATATGGTCCCAAGTATGGATGGAAATAATTTCATCTGAAAACATCTAAATTGAGTGCAATAACTTCTAATCTGATATAGTTGTCTATACAGTGCTGTATATTAATTCATTCCTACAAAAGTAGCCCACAAATATTTTAATATACAAATTACTAAAACCTCTTATTTGAAGTTCTTCATTCTGGCTCAAATCCAGAGTCAAATAAGAGGTTTTAGTAACCCATGTATTAAAATATTGGTAGGTCAGTTTTCATTCATGAGATCGGTAAGAAAGCACCCAAAAGTAACAGAACTGCTTAGATAATTGTAAATGATTAAGAGCAAAAAGGGGGAGTTGCCTACACCCCCTGCTTAAAAGATAAGAATAATGCAGTAACTGGTTGAGATGTTAAACTATCTCATAGTAGTTTAGCAATTCTAAACAGATGCCATAGAAAAATCTCCAGTTAGAAAGTGGGAATAACTTGTCACCATTTTTTTCTTTCCCCCAACTTGTGAAAGATAAAATGAAAAGCACAAGACCACTGCAACTGTGACAGTTCCTTGCTTTCCAATGACTGGACACACCATAGCATAGAAGAGAACCATACACAATTTTTCAACACAGCACACACCTCACTTTATCTCTCTAACATAGGGTCCCCCCTTCATTAAGGCACTCTTTGTTGAAGGGGTCTTTACAATTGATTCATCTCTCTCTCTCTCTCTCTCATATATTACTAGAAAACCATCCTTTTTAGCATAATACAGCAGAATACATCTGTTAATGTTCAATAATTTGTTGTTTTAATATCTTAACATGAGTTCAGAAGAAATCTTGATCTTAATGGTTCAATCCAGGATTCTCAAATTTGCAGAATCGCAAATGCACATTGTGGACAGTATCTGTGATGTACAGATTAAAATTCAGTTATTAAAAGTAGTTGCTGTATTTAGTTCTTTCCAACCTTGACATTAATGAAATCATTAGTTTTATTCATGGTGTGGTGACAAACAAACTTCAGAACTACTGATTTAATCATTAATTAGTATCTTAAAAATGTATATTTTGCTCTGGTATCTAAGGCATGGGTTAAAAAAGCAGAACATTGGTATACTGTGCTAAGATCAATGGAAGATAAATTTGGTATCTCTTGTATTTTTACAAATCTATATTATAATTAAATAATTATAAACAATTGCTATTTATAGCTATTGCATCTTCTTAGAAAGAAATTGGAAGGATTGTTATTGTGGGGGAAAATAGAAAGAAGGAGCATTAAGTATGTTCACTATCTTATCTTATCTTATCTTATCTTATCTTATCTTATCTTATCTTATCTTATCTTATCTTATCTTATCTTATCTTATCTTATCTTATCTTAACTATAAAATAATAAAGGCAGGATAAAAATACACAAAAGCATACATATATACAATATCTACATTATACTGAACTGGGCTGTACTATAGTTTATATTATAGACACATATATTTATATCTTCAGTAATCAAGTTATTCTGAGAACAATGTGAATTAGAACCTTGTCAATATATGAAATCCACATGCATTGGTATGGCTTATACATATGAAAACTATAAATGCAAGACATGAAAGTCTGCCTTTAGCACCAGTACATGTATTAAAAAATCCTTCCCTGAGATAACAAACATACCTGAAGTTGATGGAGTTTTCTTTCTTACAGACTCTGTAAGTAGGCAAAAAGATCTTATGTCTTTTGAGACCATCTGGGACATGTTCCCTGATGGACTTCAAGATACCTTTTGGATACAAACAGTTTTAAGTACCAATAATTAACTTTCTTGCTTTGTTGTGATTTAATTTTTTAATTGCAGTTTAGTTGCAAGTGAATAACATTTAGGGAATTGGTTTTTTTTCTGAAAGTTGTATTGTCAAATTGAAATAACTAGTTCTAAATGTTTGTCTCCCTTTTTTTTCAGTGGTAATGGCCATTCTATCAATGAATGTCCGGATTTCTATCAAAATGGCACAGTCTGCAATCTTATCCCCTGATAGAAGATTACCATACACATTGTCCTCTTTTTTCCTTTCTCAAGAAAACAGTGGGCATTTCAGGTAACAGATGAAGAAGGTCATCTGCATTCACGTACATCCTAACATACAAGATGCTGGTATTAAGTTAAGACAGTAGGCCTTAATACAGACTACGTAAGAACAAATGTTAAAAGCAAGAAAGCAAAAAAGAAATAGCCAATGACTATTGATTGATTGAATTTATTTGCTGCCATCTCATAACAAACAACTCTGGACATCTTTCAGCATTAAAACGTATACCTATCTTTAAAAGAATAAAAAATAGAAACACAATCAAAATAAAATATAGTTAAAAGATGGGGAAGGAGGGAACAGGATGTGTGTGTGTGATGGGGAGGTGAGATTCAACAACCACCTCCAATGTGATGCTCCTCTGTTAGGCCCCAAGCCTGTGGTGAAATTCAAATTTTTTCCCCTACTGGTTCTGTGGGCGTGGCTTGGTGGTCATGTGACTGGGTGGGCGTGCTGGTTGGTCATGTGACTGGGTGGTCATGGCCAACTCAATGTCACTCACATCAAGGGGTGCCTCGCCTGGCCCTTCCCCTCCCAGCCATTCCTTGTCACACCCAGCCTCAATATATCTATAGTTCTGTAAAAATGTTGTTCACTTTTTTTCGATTTTATTTCTACATACTATAGATGTAGTTTCATGGACCACTGAAAGGAGGAAATGGCTCACATGCTTTGCCCAAGAGTGTGATAGGCAACAGGCTTTTAAGGGGCTGCCACAAAGAAGGGGGGGAGGGCAATGTATTTTCCAAAGAAGCAGAAGGCAAAACAAGAAGCAATGGATGCAAACTGAAGAAACAGAGAAGCAACCTAAAACTAAGGAGAAACTTCCTGACAGTGAGAACAATTAACCAGTGGAACTGCTTATTTCCAGAAGTTCTAGGTGCTTGATCACTGGAGGTTTTTAAGAAAAGACTGGACAGCAATTTCTCTGAAATGGTATAGAGTCCCCTTCAAAGTCCCTTCTAAGTGTTATTCTGACACCTTTCCCAGGCCCTCCACTCAGATCCAAAATGTGGCTGTGATAGTTGATTAGAGCTCCTCTGCTTTTTGTGTGCAACAGCTTTAGCATTTAGGATCAGAGCTAAATTAGTTGCTTTTCTATTAATACATAATCCTTAAAAGGGCTCTCCTGTAGGGATCCTGATGGTCTAATTCAGAGGTCCCCAACCTTTCTGGCACCGTATGTGTGTGTGTGTGTGTGAATGAGTGAGTGAGAGAGAAAGTGAGAGTGAGTGAGAGAGAGAGAGAGAGAGAGAGAGAGAGAGAGAGAGAGAGAGAGAGAGGGTGGGAGACAAGTATACAGTTTGTAGACAAGAGGCACAGACAGAAGTGGTAAATTAAATAATGGGTGGGCTACGCATGGAGTAAAATAAGTGTGGGATTGTTACTTAAGGCCTGCCACCAGATGATTTTGCTCCAGTCCAGATGAAAATCAGAATAAACACACAGGGAAGACTTCACTAGAAAGGGCTTTCTTTTGCTCTAGGAAAAAATCAGAATAAAGAACTGGAAAAGCCTTCACAGGAAGATGCTTTTTTGTTCTGCTCTGGAAGAAAATTAGAAAACACAGAGAAATCTTCACTGGAATTTCTGCTTTTGCTCCAGAGGAAACCCCCAATCAAAGACCCGGAGAAACAGAAAGAGGTTGAATGACCACCACCTGCACTTTTCAATGGTTCAGCATAGTGATTCCCTTCCAGATTAGCCCTGTGACTTTCTGCAACATTTTAACAAGGTGATAATTGCTCTGGGCCGAACACCCAGATATCTCATTTAAGCTACTTAAAGCTAGTATTCCTTTCCCTGCTGGGGAGGGGGGGGAGAAGGGGGGAAAAGGAAAAAAGCGGCAAAAATTGACAGTTTATTATTCACTCTGAGGGCAAATGAAATTAAGACTCATTTGCTCTTTCTTAGCTCAGCTGAGGCGGCAATCCGTTCTACCGCACGAGTCAGCTGACCTAATAAACAACAGAATATAGGAGAGGTGAGAGGAAGGGGAGGGCAAGTGGGAAGGGCCAATCAAAATTTTCTCTACCGGTTCTCTGAACCAGTCAAAATTTTCCCTACCCAGACACCAGAACCAGTGTCAACTGGCTGCATTTCACCCGTACCCCAAGCCATCTCTTCAGCCTCCTGTGGAAGGACAGAAGGGCGGGAGCCAACCTCACCTCTGGGGTAAGATGTTCCAAAGGGCCTATGATGTATCAATAAATAAACCTAAAAACATTTCTACATAGTAGTACGAATCTCCATGTCTCCTGTACTGAACCTGAAGCTGGCTTGAGAAATTGCTGTATTAATTCCAATTTTTTTGGCAGTGGTGCCAATCAGGATTTAGTCTGGACTATGGCTTCTATAAGACTCAGCTGATTGATTCCCTTCATATGTGCTCTATCCATCTTGTACAGAAGATATGGAGGCCTTCTGGAGGCTGGAAACAGCCCGTTTGCCGACTTCCAGTGGGACCAGAAGGCCTGTTTTTCACTGTCCAGAACCTTTCTAGGAGCCTGGGGAGGGCAAAAATGGCCTTCCCCACCCCCCCGGAGGCTGGAAATGGCCCGTTTGCCAACTTCTGGTAGCCCAGAAGGCCTGAAAATCAGCTGGTCGGCACGAGCATGCACGCTGGAGCTGAGCTCACATGCCCATTGATATGGCTCCGTGTGCCACCTGTGGCACGCGTGACATAGGTTCGCCATCATGGCTCTATCATGCCACATAATATTATTGAGTGGCAATAATATACTGTAGAATCAATGACAATGTGCTTTTCAAATTTCATCATGGAAACATATGACAAGTCATGTGATCTACAGACTACAGCAATTATAGATTTGAAGGATCTGGATTCAAGGCGACTGCTGGTATAAGGAAACATATAACATAAATCTAGGCTATTGAGTTTGTCAATGGACGAAGTAAACAAAAAAGCAAACAATCCACAAGATCACAATACATGAAAGTTGCAATGACTACTCTTGTGAAAGCAGCCCACTAAAAAAAAATACACTCTAAAAGCTTGGCAATATTTGATTTTAAGGCTATGCCTGTCAGATAGAGGAATAAAGAGGACTAGATGTCTGATAATCCTACTAAAAGTGAAGGCAGCCAGGGACAGAGGGAGATGCATCACCACATATAATTTATACATAGAGGAAAGGCTGTTGAGATCTGAAATAACCTAACAACAGTAAACCAACCATTTCCCACCTATCTATCTGTCTGTCTGGGTCTCTGGAAAATGCTATGTGGAAGGGCGGAGAAGAAAGAGGGAAGTTGGTAGTTAAGCAACTAAGTGGGTGTTTGCTAATACTGTACATAGCTCTGGGAGAGAGGCAGAGAAAATGAGGAACCGGAAAGTTTGGCCCCGTGATGTAAATAGTTCTGTTATTCCTTAGTTTATGTAAATATACCTGTACACAGTATCTATTATAAACATCTCCACTGTCTCTGTCTCTATGAAGCAATTGTTTGCTTTAAAGACACACACACACACACACAGAAATCTGAAATAACTGCCAGCCATGCAATGACATATCCCCAAGAGAAAAATAAAAGACAATAGCAGTTGATAATAAATGCATTTGAATAGATCTACAATATAAAAAAAAGGCAGCTGTAATATTTATAGATATAGAAAAGATTTTTGATGATTTGGAATGACCTATTTTATCAGCAGTTTTAAGCAACATCAATCTAGAATTTAGAAGTTGAGTGGGGAGCACATATCAATGGCAAACAACAAGTGGACACTCTCCACAGGTTTTTCAATAAGCAAAGTATAATGGTCTGTGAGGAATGCTGTTGAGAGACAGGAGGAAGAGGAGCTGCAAACTAGGCAACAGCCAGATAAGAGGCATCTTAACCCAGAGGAGCAATTGGGAGCAGGGCAAACATGTTTCTTGGACTGTAAAGGCAGAGGGGAAGACATGTATTTTCAGATATGTAAAATTTTGTTACATGTAGCTCTCAATTTACGACCAGTTGCATAGTAACAGACCTTCATTACGATGGACCAACCTAGGGAATACATATGACCCAGTGGTGGGTTCCTCCCGGTTCTGCCAAGATGGTAGCAATGACAATATGACGTCACCGAACCGGTTCTGCCCCCCTGCCCCCTGGTGTTATTCTTACCTTTTATTTGGCCCCACCCCCAATCTATTGCTGCCTCCTGAGTCCCAGCTGATTGGCTAGAAGGAAAAAACTGTTTAAACTCTTGCTGCGGGGTTTCAAAGGGTCGCCCTACAGCTGATCAGTGTTAAAAGGCAGTGTGCTGGTAGACCGGTGCCTCCAAAAACAAATGAGTAGACCGGTGCCTGCAAAAATAAATGGGTAGACCAGTGCCTGCAAAAACAAATGGGTAGACCAGTACAGCTCTGCAAGCAGTTAAAAGCCTGGTAGACCAGTACCTCTGCTAAATCCTAAAGAATTGTCACATGACCATCAAGCCACGCCCACAAAATAAGCTATGCCCACAGAACCGGTAGTAAAAATTTTTAGAACCCACCCCTGTTATGACCCAGATACAAAGTTCCAACGGTCAGGTCATGTGACTGAACTTCAGGCGGTCAGCAACCAGGCCACATTTACATTTGTTTGCAGCATCCTGTTGTCATATGATCATGTTCATGATTGCTTTGGCAAAAACCAACATTTACTTCTGGTTTTCAGTAAAACTGTGCCCATATTGAACCTTTGCCACAAAAAGGTTGGGTTGGCTCACCTGACTGATATGTTTTATAACTGTCATGACTTACGACTGTGAAGGGCAAGCTCCACTATAGTTGTAAGTTGAGGACCACCTGTACTTCAACTTTAGAATAAAGTTAGTGTTAGTAGGCATGGTTGGTGCTTCTTGCCTGGAGTACCTGAAAGGACTGACACAAAGGTGCTAAGGAGGTGCTGCCCACGTTCTTCCTTATTATTTGCAATAGCTTTAGAAGTTTTGGTAGACAAGGTGCAGATAGACAAATTGGCAGGAGTGCTATTCAGCAGGTTCTGACAGATTCTGGAGAACCGGTAGTGGAAATTTTGAGTAGTTCAGAGAAACAGCAAATACCACCTCTGGCTGGCCCCAGAGTGGGGTGGGAATGGAAATTTTGCAATGTCCTTCCACCAGGAGTGGGGAGGGAATGGGGATTTTGCAGCATCCTTCCTCTGGAGTGGT